CTGCTCACGCTTGCGCTCTCTTTCTCTCTCTCTCTCTCAAATAAATAAATAAATAAATCTTTTTTTAAAAAAAAAAGATGTCCTGTTGACACTAATATTTTTATGGAAGAAATTTTTAAAAAATTTTCTCTTGTATCTTTTTTTTCTGCATCTTATGACTACAAGGTGTTTTTTATCTTTGTTGTCACTTCCCCTTCCACATACAGTCAGTAATCAAACCTAGGACTTTGCATTTTTAGTCATCACCACTTACATTACCGAAATTCTCTTACAGATTCGTTTTACCTCATTTTTGTACTATTGCTTCTCACCAACCTAACTGCATACTTCTCCTTTTTTTCATCCTAAAGTCACAATTAAAAGCATTTTATATAAAGAGCATTTTGCTTTTGCAAATCCTTTAGTGACCTCTGTTTCTGTAGAAAGGTCTGCTTCTGTATTTCAGTCCCTGTGCTGTAATAACTTCTAATATTAGATAAATGTTATAACCCTTCTGTTGGGACTTGACTACTTCTGAGCCTTTTGCTCAAGTGGCCCTATATATTTCTAAGTTATCTATTAGTATCTCTCTTTTTCTGAATGTCTTTGTTCATGGGATCCCTGGGTGGCTCAGCAGTTTAGTGCCTGCCTTCACACCCAGGGCGTGATCTTGGAAACCCAGGATCAAGTCTTGCATTGGGCTCCCTGCATGGAGCCTGCTTCTCTCTCTGCCTGTGTCTCTGCCTCTGTCTCTCTGTCTCTCTCATGAATAAATAAGTAAAATATTAAGAAAAATAAATGTCTTTGTTCAGAGACAATTTCTCATACCCCAAACAAGTACACCTTTTAGTAAAGAGGACACGAAACTTAAATATGAGTACAATGGCCAGATATAGAGTAAGTATACAAACTTAACATAAACTATTTCTAAATAAAATGGAAAAATCTCATTCATACTTTCAACCAAAAAACCTAAGTAGGAGTCTTTATGACTAAAGCTATAATACTCTATTAGGAGACTTGAATAATTGGATATTGAATAATTGGATAAATATATCATTATTCACTCTTTAAAAATAATCTCTATGTTCAGTGTGGGGCTCAAACTCACAATCCTGAGATCAAGAGTCGCATGTTCTACCAACTGAGCCAGCCAGGTACCCCAATATATCATTATTAAGAACTAAATATGCTATAAAGATGTTAGTACTTTTTAAACTGATTTATATTTTTAAATTAATTCTAGTCAAAAATTGGATCTTTTGTTTTTAACTTTTTTGTTTTTAATTGGTGGAGATTGTTTTTACTCTGGTAGAATGATTCTAATAATATTAGTTCATGTCGAAATAAACATGGTTGAAAATAGTCAAAATCATTGACAAAAAATAATCTACGGAGGGAGCAAGCTTGCCTAACCTTACTACTATAGCAGAATAGGCTGGTAATAATATAAAAATATAAACCCTGATAGAAACGACATCTCAATCAATGAAGAAAAGATTATTTAGTCTACAGTATTGGATCAGTTAGTTGTTTGAGTAAGAATTACTTGGATTCTTACTTCACATGTACCAAATACAAAAATGAAACTCCAGATATATTGAAAAATTATATGTAAAGTAAAAATTTAAAAAAGAAGAAAATAGAAGTGACCATCAGGGTATGTAATGGGAAAGAATTTTAAGAGTAAAAATAATTTTAAAACTCATAAAATTAGGGGCGCCATCTGCCTTTAGCTCAGGTCATGATCTCAGGGCGTTGGGATCAAGCCCCCATGTTGGGCTCCCTGTTCATTTTTTTTTTAAGATTTTATTTATTCATGAGAAACACACACAGAGGCAGAGACACAGGCAGAGGGAGAAGCAGGCTCCATGCAGGGAGTCAGACATGGGACTCGATCCCAGGTCTCCAGGATCACGCCCTGGGCTGAAGGCGGCGCTGAACCGCTGAGCCACCTGGGCTGCCCGGGGCTCCCTGTTCAGCAGGGAGTCTGCTTCTCCCTCACCCTCTGCTCCTGCTCTCTCTCTTGCTCATGTGCTCTCTCTCAAATTAATAAATAAATCTTAAGAAAAATAAAAGATAAGAATCCTAAAATTAAAAGTAATTTTGGCTATTTACATAGTTTAAAAAATGTAAAAGTCCTTTTATATTAAAATATATACTGTAAATAAAATTAAAAGATAAGTGGAAAACTGGGATAAAATATTTATAACAAATAAATAATACCCTCAATATATAAATAATTTTTCTGTAAATCAATAAAAATACTATTAAATCTTAACAGAAAAATGTGCAAAAGATATGTACAAATAATAAAAGAAATTACAAATGGTAAAAACATGATTTTATTTTTTCTTATTTTTTTAAAGACTTTACTATTTATTCATGAGAGAAAGAGAGAAAGAGAGAGAGAGAGGCAGAAACACAGGCAGAGGGAGAAGTAGGCTCCATGCAGGGAACCCAGCGTGGGACTTGTGGGACTCAATCCTGGGTCCCCAGGATCATGCCCTGGGCTGAAGGCGGCGCTAAACCGCTGAGCCACCTGGGCTGCCCTAAAAACATGATTTTAAAAAGTGCCAGCCTCTTCAGCGATCAGAAATATACCAGGTAAAAACAATTGAAAAACACTATTGTTTAGCTATCAAGTTGGGAATTCTTTTTAGATTTTTCTAATATTCTTTACTTGTAAGGATATACCAGGATAGGCACTGTCATATATACCTTGGTAGGATTATAAAATGATAAAATCTTTTTGGAAAAGTATTTCACAACCTATTTCAAGGGCCTTAAAATACTCAACACGTCTTTTAAAGTAACCACTTGCATTCAGGAGGTAATCATATCTATTATCAAGGAGTTTAGTACAAAAATGTTTATTATGGGATGCCTGGCTGACTTAGTCATTAGAGCATGCAACTCTGGATCTCAGAGTTGTGAGTTTGAGCCCTATGTTGGCTATAGAGATTACTTAAAAATAAAATCTTAAAAAAAAAACAAATAAATAAAATAAAATCTTAAAAAAATCTTAAAAAATGTTTATTATAACAGCATATACTAAAAACTTAGAAGTTATTAAAAATCTGATAAGGAATTTTTTTAAGATTTTATTTATTCATTCATGAGAGACACACAGAGAGAGAGAGAGAGAGAGAGAGAGAGGCAGAGACACAGGCAGAGGGAGAAGCAGGCTCCATGTAAGGAGCCCGATGGTGGAACTTAAACCCAGGAATCCAGGATCATGCCCTGAGCCAAAGGCAGACACTCAACCACTGAGCCACCCAGGCGTCCCTGATAAGAAGGAAGTAATGTGATGTTAGAGGAAGTTAGATGTAACCAGTCATACAATGAAATATTGTGGAGCCATTAAAAATTATATAGTCAAAAAAATAATAAATAAAAAAAATTATATAGTCATATTTATAGCCACATGAAAGGGCTGAAGATAATATCTGAACTAAAAAAAAAAACGGATACAAACTACCTACACAGCACCTAATTAATAATATGAATTATTTGTAGCTAGTTGAATTTTGGATGATGGTGATTTCTTTAGATTTTTTTAGTATTTTTCCACATTTTCTGTAATGATCATTTATTTTGCAAATAGAAGCAAAAATAACTATTTTAGTTTTCAAAGAATAGTTAATGTTCAAGAGAATACAAGATGCAATGAGTTCCCAATTTTTTAATTAAAATAAATTTAAAATGTAGAAATAAATTAACAGAATGTTAATAGCATTTATCTTTAGGTATTATATATGCCATAGGTATGATATGACATAATTTATTTTTAACTTGTTTTACAACTTTTGCTCAGTTAACATCTAATGCTTTTATAATGAATAAAGAAAAACCCAACTCTATTAAAAAAAGGATTCCTTACCAGCGGTTTAATGAATACCAACCGTATCTAATCCTGAATCTCATTATGCCCACCATCTATATTATCCATATGTAAGTTATGTTCATTTTTACCTGTTTTGTTAATCCTGATACTTTTTTGTTTAAAAAAAAAAGAAAATTTATGGACTATGCTTCCTTTGGTTCCTAATAAGAGACTTAAGTACTTGAATATAAATTGTTAGAAGGTCTGTGTTAACCTAATTAATTATTAGCATTTGAAAGTATTTGTGTCTGTTAAAAGTTTCCCATATATAAACAGTTTTCTTGTAATGATGATTCTGTATTCAATAAATTAAAACAAATCACTGTGTGGAATAAACAACACCCCCTTGACTATTCTATAAACTATGTCTCTCACTTTCCTGTTAGGAAGAAGTACTTTGTTTTCATGTGATATAACCAAATATGAATCATGTTCACCTGTTTCCATCATCTGCCCATTCCTAGTCTACCTCTGGGTAGAGTTACTCCTTAACTATATAATATACAGACAGACTTTAAATCTGCAACTGAGATAGTCCTCTCACCAACATTCAAGGAAAATGGGAGTTGCCATTCATTGACTTAACAGGCATCTGATAATTAGGAGTTCTTTCAAAAGTGAGATAAGAAATGTGTGTCAGTAAACAGATTATTTGATGGACTCTTCACATTCATCAATACATAATGTGTATTGTTGTTTTATGGCTATTAAATATGACATTCTGGAATGCCTTATCAGTTTGCAGAATTCTGAGAATGCGTTTCCAATAGGAAGAGAGGCTAGCAGGGGCAGCCCCAGTGGCTCAGCGGTTTAGCGCCGCCTTTAGTCTGGGGCCTGATCATGGAGACCCAGGATCGAGTCCCACGTCGGGCTCCCTGCATGGAGCCTGCTTCTCCCTCTGCTGTGTCTGTCTGTCTCTCTCTCTCTCTCTCTCTCTCTCTCTCTGTGTCTCTCATGAATGAATGAATGAATGAATGAATGAATGGGGCTAGCAGTCATGATTATACCTGCTATATTTATTAGTCAAAGTAAAGCAAAATCCATCTGTGACAGCTTTGTTTTGCTTTTTTTTTTATTAGTTTGTTTAGTAATATATTCAAATTATGACCTTTACTATAATTTCTTCCCTCACTAGCTTGGTGCTAACAGTGGTTTGCACATAATCATCTTTGATGAAATTGATGCTATCTGCAAGCAGAGAGGGAGCATGGCTGGTAGCACAGGAGTTCATGACACTGTCGTCAACCAGTTGCTGTCCAAAATTGATGGGGTAGAGCAACTGAACAACATCTTGGTCATTGGTATGTTTGCTTTAAAAAACAAAAGTTCTATGATTTCAAAAACATTAGACACATAGATTCTGAAGTAAGATCTGTGTAGGTTGTAGTTAATACTGTACTGCCCATGTTTCCAAATTAGAATCAAGTGATATTGAAGAATCTTAAGTACGTATTTTAATGTCTAGCCTTAATAGGACAAATAAAAGATGAGTTTTAGCGACTCATGGGTATATGCTCATAGCTTAAAGATGAAAAAGGCAGCACAGTGTAATGCAGTGGTTTTCAAATTGCATCCTATAGGCCTCCAGGGGCCCTCAGAGGTGCCTCAGGGTCTGTGAGTGAGCTTCAGATCATGTATCCCAATTATAACTTCTTTTAACTGTTTCATATACTGAGGTTCTTCTGAAGATGACTTTAAAAACAAAACAAAACTTCTGATATTTATGATGTTTGAAAAACATTGGCCTACAAAAAAAGAGAGGGACTTTGGGGTTGGACAGATAATGTTCACATTGTCCCTCTCTCACTTTGACTGGCTTCTTAGCCTCTCTGAACCTTACCCTCTCTTTTTAAATATTTGAAGTTTTCATTACATTTATCGTCCATTGGCTATATAATATAGTGAAATACCAAAGCAGAGTCTTCAGGTATTTCCATTAGAACAGATCAAGAACAAATGAGAATAAATAGTTTTCTATTTGACGTTTATAAAATGTCTTAGCTTGTTTGAGAAATTACTGTTCTTACATATATTAAAGGGAGATTTTATCTTATTTTTGAACTGTTGTTATTTTGTTTTGAAATATGTGCTCAGGAATGACCAATAGACCAGATCTGATAGATGAGGCTCTCCTTCGACCTGGAAGACTGGAAGTTAAAATGGAGATAGGTAAGCAGGTCTGTCACTGATTGGGGGGAGGTTGTGTGTTTAGAATTCATTAGTAAGAGCAGGGTCCATAACTTTATTTTGGTTAGAGAAGTTGTCTATCATGAAGACCACATGCTTACCTGCTTAAATACCTAGGAAAAGCATTAGGATGATAATTTCTATTTTATTTTCAATTTTATCAGGCTTACCAGATGAGAAAGGTCGATTACAGATCCTTCATATCCACACAGCACGGATGAGAGGGCATCAGTTACTCTCTGCTGACGTAGACATTAAAGAACTGGCTGTAGAGACCAAGAATTTCAGTGGTGCTGAACTGGAAGGTCTGGTGCGGGCGGCACAGTCCACTGCTATGAACCGACACATTAAGGTCAGGAAAATCAACTAACACATTAGAAATCTGCAGCTTTCTAAATACTGTGTCAGTGTTCTTTCTCTTTCCTTTCAAACAAGCCAAGGGCTATAGTAATGCTGACTTTTGACAGAGAAGAGGCATGGTAAATAGGAATTGTCAACTGCCAAAGCTTCAGAGTGGTAATGCTGGCATCTGCCCCACGGTGACCACTAGCACATCTGCCTTAGCTTGCCACCATCTGATACAGACATGTGAATATGAAGATGATGAAGAATTTAATTTTTAATCTTTGTACCGTATTGAGTTGTAACATGTCATAGGAAGTTGGGTTTCTACAGTGGCTGCTGGGATTATGGAGGCTGCTTTGTTCAGCACATATGCTGTGAATACCTGCTGTTTTCTGACTATTAAGCTGGAGACACAAAGATGATAAAACACAGCCTCTCCCCTCAAGGAATTCAGAGTCAGGCGGATGGACATGTTTGTAAATTAGTACAATAACATTATTGATACTGTGGTAGAAAGACATAACCAGGATACGTTTATGTTGATAAAATGCTTTTGAGTCTTTACTATCTGTTCTCTTCAGGGATACATGGATGACTCCCAGATTTACATCTCATCTTTGAAAGCTTCTTTCTCCCAGTTTCAGATTTATATAAAATGCCTCTACCTGGATATTTTATCAGACCTCACATTTAACATTCCAAAACCAAATTCACGGCCTTTTTTTTTTTTTAACTGCTTTTCTACCTGTTCCTATTTTCCTGTTTATCATAATTTCCCAGGAGTAAAACTTCAGGATTATCTTTAATTCTTGCCACTCTGGTACACCCTACATCAAGTCATTTTCCAAATTTTGTCACTTCTGTATTGGCAGTGTCCTTAGTTTCTACTCACTTTATGTTTGATTAGTCTTCCTGTTTCATACTATTCTACCCTACAGAAACTTTCAGAACAAAGTAGACTTCTTAGCCTGATCTTTAAGGTCCTCTAGATCTGACCCTAAACTGACCTTTCCAAATGTGTTCCCAGTTATTCTCCATACTTTAGCCAAACTTAAATACTCATTGGTCATCAGGCATTAACTTATTTTTTCACTTCTCTGCTTTTGCAGAAGTCTTTACCCTCTATGTTTACTTGTCTTTTTTAATACCTAGTTCATATGACACCACTTTCTTCAAATCTTTTCTGATTGTCTCCTTCAAGAAGTATTTATTGTCTTCCTTCTTGAAATAGTAATGTGTCACTTATGGTACGTTTTTGACTGACTTTGGTTCACAGTAGATTCAGTCAGCACCTACTCTATGCCAGATCCTGTGCTTGGCGGTTAATGCTACACCTGAAAGAATTAAGCCATCTACCGCTAAGCAGCCCACAGTTTAATCTCCACATTCAGTAACAGAAAGTACAGGAGACGTAAGGAAGTGGAAAGTTGTCATATGTGGTCAACTTGTGGGGTGAGGGGATGCTTCACAGAGAAATTTCTGGGTGAATGCATCTCTTGGTAGGGAGAAGGAACAGAGACACAAAATAGCATGGTGCGTTAGGGTAATTCAGTACTGCTTCATCATAAAAGGTAGGGGAGGGGAGATAGAGACATTGTGGTGAAGAAGTCAGGAGACTAAAGCAGGGAGTGGAACACAAAGAGCCTTTTATATTGTGCTAAGAAGTATGGACTTTTTTTCCTGTGAGTGGTACTAAGCCATTGAAGAGTTTTAAGAATAGCAGTGACATAGTGCTAAAACATAAGCTCACCCTGGCAGCTGAGTCGAGTGGAGTATTATGGAGAGTGGAGTTGGCAACATCCTATCACTGGTTCTAACCAGAGGATCAGCAAACTGTGGCTCATGGTCCATATCCAGTTCACCACCAGCTTTTATAAATAATGTTTTTGGAGAACATGCCCATTTATTTATGTCTTGTCAGTGGCTGCTTTCAATGGTAGAGTTGAATATTTACAACAAGGACTGCATGGCCCACAAAGCCTAAAATAGTTACTATCTCATTCTTTACAGAAAAAGTTTGTCAATCTCTGTTTTAGACTTTAAGTCCATATCTTATACGTGTCTGAATCTCCCAAGTGCCCCAAATAGATCTAAATACTGAGAACATAGCAGATGTTTAGTAAATATTTCTAAGATTACAAGCGTATGTCTCTGTTCTGAATCAGGCTCTACCCATAAGTCATAATTTCCCTACATAATAGAAGTGACTTTGTTCTAGCTTAAGAATGCCAAAAGTTGGTCAGCCCGGGTGGCTCAGCGGTTTAGTGCTGCCTTCGGTCCAGGGCCTGATCCTGGAGACCCAGGATCGAGTTCCATGTCGGGCTCCCTGCATGGAGCTTGCTTCTCCCTCTGCCTGTGTCTCTGCCTTTCTCTCTCTCTCTCTGTCTCTCATGAATAAATAAATAAAATCTTTAAAAAAAAAAAAGGATGCCAAAAGTCAGGATAGTGTGTGAAATACAGTATTGGGTCCTTTATAGAATGGATCCATCCATCCATCCATCCATTATTCATTCACCCATTCACCCTTTCTCCTTGCCATAAGAAATGTCTTAGAAGTGATGGGGACTTCAAGAAAAATTGTGTAAATGATGTGAGGATTGTTCCCCACCATACTGATCTTTCATCTCCGACCACATCAGTGCATCTTGGTATAATCCAAAGTGTCTGGTATATTGTCAGAGTTTTCATAGGCACAGGCCACCAGATTTTTCTTAGTCAATTGTCATTTTTACCACAATAGTCCTACCACAAAATGTCACTCTAAGCCATTCTTTCACTAAGGAGCATGTTTTCTTCAAGTACATATTGGGTTTATATAGACACAAAGCAAAAAGTGATGATGGAAAGATCACAGATTTTGTAGTCAGAAGGTATGGCTATGCATTATACTCCTTTCACTTTTTTATTTTTTATTTTTTGTAAGATTTAAAAAATTTATTTATTTGACAGAGAGAGGGAGAAAGAGGGAGAGAGAGCCCAAGCAGAGAGTAGAGGGAGAAGCAGGCTCCCCGCTGAGCAGGGAGCCCAATACAGGACTTAATTCCAGGACCCTGGGATCATGACCTGTGCCGAAGGAGGACATTTAACTGACAGAGCCACCCAGGTGCCTCACCCTTTTTTATTTCTGTCAGGGGGAAATAACTACTTCATCAGGCTCCGGTGAAAATCAAGTCAATTACTATATATGGAAGTACGTTACAAACTATATAAATGTTAATTATTTCCATTTTTGTTATTGGCCAATTTGAGAGCACACCAATATATATCATTTCCAATGCCTGAGTTTTGGAATTTGTTGACTATTTACAGTTTTATTTTTTTCCATTGTAAATGTTAGTTACCATTGTACAGAATGTGTTATCTTCAGATTTTCAAGTAAGAAGTAGTGCAAATAGTTGATACTCTTGCTCTCACTTTTCCCATGTGGCTACTTTTAAACTTTAGGTAATGCATATTGACTTGTGATCAGTATCTTTTATACCAAAAGCTTTTAATTTTTTTCAGTATCTATGGAATATCTAATACAAGTGACTATTTAGGCACTTCAGGGAAGAGAAAGGTTTATAGGACACTAACCCTTAGCCTCCAAAAAGAAATAATGTGACCATTTATTTCCTTTTCTACATCTTTAAAAAAATCTGTGTGATCAAAGGTCTTTAAACACTGTTTTCCCAACAAGACTCCTCAGCTGAACCAAAAGGCATAAAGTTGTAATATTTCCATTGCTGTAGATGTTCATAGCTTTACTAATAGAGATTGATTAGTAAGTATTTAATTTGAAATTTATGATCTGAAGTTGATATACAACTTTAAAACATCCACAGCATTCAACTGTTCTAATATCCTATCTTTGTATTATTAAAAGCCATAATTGGTTTTATTTTGCATCCTTTTCAAAAGATTTATTAGGTTTAAATAAAGTCAGGTGTATCAACAAAATGAGTCTTCCCTTTTGGACTTTTTTCAAGTTTTCTGAAACGAGGAAAAAATCCAGTTGTAAACACCTGATATTCATGTCATTTGTACTTGAACCCATATTTGTGGTCAACTGAAATTCATGTGACATTTGGTTATTTTTTCTTGAAAGGAATTTCTGCTTCAGGTAGAAAAGATTCATAACCCAAATTTCTTCTGCTCTAATTAGTTGTAAGGAAGTAAATTGAGGACATGCACACACACACACAACACACAAACACGCTACACACCTGAATCAAAGCTCTGATTTATGTTTGCAGAATTTCAGTAAAATTATTTATTTTCTGTAGAATTTTGATTGATTAAGTTCATTCTACCCTTAATTTAAGAGGAATGATAAGAACTTTGAAAGGTCAGATTTAAAAGGTTATGAAATTTAAGGGTGACCACTTGATATTTGCTAGTGTTGAAATACAAGTTTATTAGTTTCTGCAGGTATAAGCTGAAAGATGTTGCCTCTTCTATATTGATTAGCTGTTATAAATAAAATGCAGGAAAAAATCACAGTAATTCAAACAAATGAAAAGAGATTTTCTGAATGAGTAAAAATTCAGAATTATAGAATATTTTAAAATTAGATTTTACTAATTTTGATAAAATAGTAAAAGTTAGCCAAGAGAAGTCCTTAGAGTGCTCGCTTCGGCAGCACATATACTAAAATTGGAACGATACAGAGAAGTCCTTAGAAAACTTAATGAATAGGCAGGAATAATTTGTAATTAGAATATTGATTGTTTACAGTTAGGTAATTTATAAAATTCCTGGTATACCTGACAACTTGTTGTAAAATAACTCTCCCCTAGCCATCTTAATTCACTTTTAATTCATTGGGTGAGTCCTTTTTTAGTAGTAAAAAAAGATAAGTTTCACACAGCTTCAGTCCTGAAATCAATCATATTTTTTGCAAATGTCAAAAGTTAAGATTTTCACTTCATGTTGCCGTATGTTTCTATCATTTGAGTTCACTTTAACCAGCAGAGGAAATCAAAACACAAAACATCATAGTAGAAACTCAGGGCTATATAGAGAGGGGACATTTGGAATGAGGCTGGAGGCTGGGGGCTTCATTGGGTTTTAACATGATTCTGTCGGAGGTCCTTCTTCACATTCACTTGAGAGGTTACACTTTGTAGAATTCTTTAAGACGTGTCAAAAGTTGGGCGGCCCGTGTGGCTCAGCGGTTTAGCGCCACCTTCAGTCCAGGGCGTGGTCCTGGAGACTGAGGATCAAGTCCCACGTCAGGCTCCCTGCATGGAGCCTGCTTCTCCCTCTGCCTGTCTCTGCCTCTCTCTCTGTGTGGCTCTCATGAATAAATAAATAAAATCTTTTAAAAAAATTATCCTACCCTTAATTTTTTTTAAAGATTTTATTAATTCATGAGAGAGAGGCAGAGACACAGGCAGAGGGAGAGGGAGAGAAGCAGCTCCACGCAGGGAGCCTGACATGGGACTCGATCCCGGGTCTCCAGGATCACACCCTGGGCCGAAGGCGGTGCCAAACCGCTGGGCCACTGGGGCTGCCCCTACCCTTAATTTAAGAAAACTCCCAGGCTTATATAAGGATAAAAGCAAAAATGGGTATGATGAAATGAAATAATATATATGAACATACTTTATAAAGCACAGGGCACCTGGGCGGGTCAGTTGGTTAAGTGTCTCCTTTTGGCTCAGGTCATGATCCCAAGGTCCTGGGATTGACCTGTGTCTGGCTACCTGCTGAACAGGGAGCCTGCTTCTTCCTCTCCCTCTGTCCCCCCACCCCCTCTCATGCTCACGCTCTCTCTTGCTCTCAAATAAAATCTTTAAAAATAAATAAATAATAATAATAAAATAAACTATAAAACACTATAGAGATTTATATATTATGAACTGAGCACTGTAATTTTTTCATAGAGGTTCTTGTTTCTTGTAACACCATTTCCTTTCTTTAACTTAGAAATGTCAAATAAGGGACGCCTGGGTGGCTCAGCTGTGTAGTGCCTGCCTTTGGCCCAGGGTGTGATCCTGGAGTCCTGGGATCGAGTCCCGAGATCAAGTCCTACATCAGGCTCCCTGCATGGAGCCTGCTTCTCTCTCTGCCTATGTCTCTGTCTCTCTCTTCTCTCTCTTTCTCTCTGTGTCTCTCATGAATAAATAAATAAATAACTTAAAAAACCCAAAAGAAATGTCAAATAAATGTGGTTAATTTTGTTTGAGAACATGAATAGGAGGAGGAGCAGAGGGAGAGGGAGCAGGAGAAAGAATCTCTCAGGCAGACTCCATATCAAGCATGAAGCTTGATGTGGGGCTCGATCCCATGACCCTGAGATTATGAACTGAGCTAAACCAATCATTGGACTCAACCAACTGAGCCACTCGGGTACCCTGAATGTGGTTAATATTTATTAAATGCCTAATATGTGCCAATGAAAACCCTATTAATAATTTAAATGGTAATTATTCTCTGTATTTAAGTAGAATCTATTATATTTACTTAAATGTTATTTGTTACTTTCTTTTTAAAAATATAGAAGTCACGTATGAGTACATTCTCTTTGTAGAAGACTCAAGGATGCCAAGTGATAAAAGGAAAAGTGAAAAAGGCTATCTCAAATACCCCTTCCCTTTCCCTCTCCAGAAATAGCCAGTGTTTGGGTTATATCTTTATAGTCTGTTTTCCTTACATTTACATTTGTGTGTGTGTGTGCGCTTTTTTTTTTGTATGTGCACTTTTTAAAGAAAAAAAATTAATGGAATTATACTACAGTTTATATTTTTCACTTGACAGTGTATCTTGGATAGCTTTCCATGTCCATATTTATAAGTTTTCATTATTTTGGACAAATGTTCAGTATTCTAGAATATTATAGCATAATTTAAAATGTAAGATCCATGAGGGCAGGAATCCTGTCAGTTTTATATTCTGATATGTCTCTAGTACCTAGAACAGTACATAATACTATTGTGAAAGTGCTTGCCTGTACCTCCCTAAGTGCATGTGAGGATTATTTTCTGGTGGAGATAGCTGGGTATATTTTTGAAGACCACATTGTCATCTAGTTTCTAGTATTACTGGTGAGAGATACCGGTTTTATTCTGGTTTCTTTGCAGCTAACTTGAATCTCTCTCCCCAAAAGGTTCAAGGACTTCCTCTTCACCTTTGGTGTTGTGATAGTTTACAACAGTGTGTCTAGACAGATGTGGGATTTTTTTTTTACTCATCCCTCCAGCACTCATTGAATCTTTTAAACTGCAAAGATACTCCTTTTATTCAGCTGTGGAAAACATTTTTTCTTCTGTCTTCTGTTGTTTTTTCTCTGTCATCCTTTCTCTTCTTCCTTCTGAGACTCCTCTTCGGTCAGTGTTAAATTTCTGGATGTATCTTTCATGATTTTTAACCTTTCTCTTTAACTTTGTCATTTCATGGGATTTGGGTCAGAAGAGAGATAAATGTGTTCTGTTTGCCATCTTGATCCAGTTTTCAGACATAGTTCCTTTTATCCCATAAGGCTGACTTTTTACAAAATGTCTGTCATTTCATTTGTCTCAACAATCTGTTCTAAAAGAATATGAATCATATTTTATAATAATCGATGGAAGGTTGATATTGCTTAACCTACTTTTGTTTTACAGTCAGATTTTTTTGAAAGATACCTTTTTAAAAAAACGTAATGCCATTTAAAAATTTGACTCACTTGCCTTGTGCTATTGGGAGTGAGCCCAGTCACATTTAAAAATGTGTTGGTATCTCAATCACTCATCAGGTCCAGGCAGCTCCAAGTGCTGATAAAGGCCTTGATGCTTCTCCAGATGTCTATTCTAAGTGTTAGCTCCAGGTGCAGTAAGCAGAATATTGGAGCTGGCACATAGGTTCTCAACCACAAAGTATGACTACAAATCAAAGTTGTAGGTCCATAGTCTTCTAGAATAATGGCACGCAAACCTAATTGAGCATCAGAATCCCCTGCGGCACTTTATAAAAATATAAATGTATGGACCCTCTGTTGGACCTGTCAAATCAAAATCCTGAGGGAAGTGGGGCTGGGCTTCTGTATATCTTTAAAGGCTCTAGAGGTTATGCTGGTATGCAGCCAAGGATGAGAACCACTGTTCTTAGAGACCCCCTGAATGTATTTTCTCCTCTTTGTGCCTTATTTTGAAATAAATAAATATATATATATATGTATATATATTTTTTAAAAAGTTATTCAATGTTCTTTGTTACAAATGTGTCATAATTTCCCGAACTGATATCCTCTAGACATTCTAATTTGCTTCTAATCTTCTGCTATTATAAATTATTCTAATGGATATCCTGATATAGTTAACTTTGCATACATTTGTGGATAGATTCAGAGATAAATTCCTAGAAGTGGAATTGTTCAGGCAAAGTTTATGTATATGAATTTGAGAGATGTTTTTTTGTCTGTGAAAATAACACTTTTTTTAAGTCCTCGGGTATTATGTTCTTAGACTGAAAATATTCTTAAATCTTGGAAGTCCTTACATTTCGTTTTTATTTCTAATTAGGCCAGTACTAAGGTGGAAGTGGACATGGAGAAAGCAGAGAGCCTGCAGGTGACAAGAGGAGACTTCCTTGCTTCTTTGGAGAATGATATCAAACCAGTGAGTATGAATACTGAATGATGGATAAGCCAAAAAATTACCATAATTCAAGAGAAAAGTAAATGCTATTTTACCCAAATATTCTGGATGGTTATACCATACATACTTTTAAAAATCAGAAAATCTCAGTATTGGAAGTGACCAGGATGAGAAACATTTGCACATTAATGCAGGTAGCTGGGTAATTAATCAGTACTTAAATTATTTCTCATGATAGGGAGATCACCATATCATAACACGTGGTATTGTCAGACTTAATTTTTGCAATTCAGTTGGATGTAAAATGAAGTTTCAGTTTAGTCTTGATTTGCATATCACTGATTACTTATGAAGTTAAGCATTTCTCCGTAAGTTTACTGGTCAGATGAATGTCTTCTGTGAAATGCTATTCATGTCTTTTGCCTATATTTCTGTTGTATTGTTTATTGTTTATTCTTTATTTTTATTTGGTCTGTATAAGTTCATTCTATATTCTTGACAGTGATAATTTGTTATAACTATCTCCTTAAAAGACAAAAATCAATTTGGTTTAGCCCTGTCTACTTTTTTTTATGATTATTGTGACTTTTAAATATAAACTAATTACTTTCAGAAGTTATTGAGCAATGGAAATGATTTAATTTTTTGCTCTTGTCCTTTTTAATAGTTACTGAAAATATTAGAGCACAGCCTGATTTATTCCAAGATTTTTTTATAAATTTATTTTTTATTTGTGTTCAATTTGCCAACATATAGAATAACACCCAGTGCTCATACCCCCACCCCCTGCCCACCTCCCTTTCCACCACCCCAAGATTTTTTTTTTAATGACAAATAATTTGGCTACCAGGAAGGGGAAACTAAGATAACTTACTTAGTCTAGTAATTAACAACTTTTATTTATTTTTTTTAATTTTTTTAAATTTATTTATTTATGATAGTCACAGAGAGAGAGAGAGAGAGAGAGAAAGAGGCAGAGACATAGGCAGAGGGAGAAGCAGGCTCCATGCACCGGGAACCCGATATGGGATTCGATCCGGGTCTCCAGGATCGCGCCCTGAGCCAAAGGCAGGCGCCAAACCGCTGCGCCACCCAGGGATCCCACAACTTTTATTTATTACATGGGTTTAGGGGATAAGGCAGAAAATAAAATGACAGAATAAGTAAGGAAGACTCCTATGTATGTTTAGCCTGGGAGGGTCACTGTTTCCTGGTTCAGGTATCTTGCTGTTTCTATGAGACTTGGAGGTTGTACTTGGAATCATTAAAGACAAAAACCAGACAGTCTACATGTTTCCTTCCAGTAGCCATTCAACCATTGCTTCCTAGGCTCCTCTTCTATAACTTTTTATAGGGCCATCTAGTGTCCTGTATCCAGACCAGGGAATTATAACTTTCTTCTTTATTTAGGAATCAAAGGACTAGTGTGTGCAAGGATGAGAAGGTGGTCTGCAAAATGATTTGGTGGTAAAATAACAGAGTAATGAGACCACTGTATATTAAGAGACAGTATTAGAGAGAATGATTTCTATGAGCTACAGGTTCTTTTAAAAAAATTATGTATTTATTCATGAGAGAGACAGAGAGAGGGGCAGAAACATAAGCAGAGAGAGAAGCAGGCTCCCTTTGGGGAGCCTGATGCAGGACTCAATCCCAGGACTCCAGATCACAATCTGAACCAAAGGCAAACGCTCAACCACTGAGCCATCCAGGCGTCCCTGGACCACAAGTTCTAATGTTAAAATCATTCTATAAGTTGGGAGATAAAAAAATTGACTTTTTGAGGGATGTGATAATTTTTTAAAATTTGAAATTCTCAAGATATGTGATCCCTAGATTATGAAATGAGTAGGGTTATGTGTTTCTACTCATTTCTTCACTTGTCAACCTTAAGAAAACACAGTTCACTTAAGTCACTAAATACTAATGTTACTGACTCCTGTTGGCAACTGGCTTGATGGGAGTTACAATGTGAAAGTAGAAGTTGAAAATGAAGAGGGATGTGATTTAAGCTCTAATATGTAGCGAGCACACATAAGATTATTATATATAGTATTGCTTTTATTTCCTTTTTCTCATACTTTAGTCTTTTACTTATAGCTACTCCTTTCTACCTCATTCTAAATCTTATATTTACACACCTAGGCTTACCTTGGTGCCATTTAGCATATGTCCCCCACCACCAGGCTGATATGGACAAGATCTTCTCATTACCACTTCATTTCCCATTTTAATCTGAGACACCTACAGCCATTGTGAGGATAGTATTTCTGTCTGCTGAGCTAACTGATTCTAATTTCTAAGTCTATAACCTCTTTTTCTCTTTGTTCTTAATAGAAGCCACAATTAGTGTATTCCTTACAGAAACAAGCACATTGGAACTACCCTTTCTCACGGATTACAAGGGTTTAAGCTCTTGTAGAATCTGACCCAAGAATCTGTTTTATTCTCCTAAATCATGCAAAGTCACCCTAAGTCACCACTTCCCACACCCCATACCCCACTCACTACTGGGTAAAGGTTAAATAAGAATTATAAAATAATGGGTATTTTGTTTTTGCTTTTATTTGCTTTTCAAACTTTTTACATTACTAAGGATATTGCTCAACACTTTGATTTTTTTTTTATTTTTTATTTATTTATGATAGTCACACAGAGAGAGAGAGAGAGAGAGAGGCAGAGACACAGGCAGAGGGAGAAGCAGGCTCCATGCACCAGGAGCCTGATGTGGGACTCGATCCCGGGTCTCCAGGATCGGGCCCTGGGCCAAAGGCAGGCGCCAAACCGTTGTGCCACCCAGGGATCCCGCTCAACACTTTTAGTGTGTAGGAATTATTACTCATCTTTTATACTTTTAAGTGTTTTAGTTTTTATACTAACAACCAAAATGGTTTAAATTATCCTTTTCCTCCATAGGCATTTGGCACAAACCAAGAGGATTATGCAAGTTACATTATGAATGGTATTATCAAATGGGGTGATCCAGTTACTCGAGTTCTGGAAGATGGGGAGCTGCTGGTTCAACAGACTAAAAATAGTGACCGTACACCACTGGTTAGCGTCCTTTTGGAAGGTGAGAAAGAATGAAGAGATGGCAGTAAGAGAAAAAAAAAAAAAAAGCACTTTTACAAAGTTTTTTATTTAGCATATTCCAGAAAAATGGATTATTTTCCATTCTAAATCTCTTCATTATCTAAAAATAGTAATCCAGACTATGTACTTGTATTGTGCATAAATTAAAGTTTTCTTGGAGTAGAATGTTGTTGATAAATGATAGCACTAGTTTTCTTGCGGGAGTGTATTTAAATTTCTGTTACTTCTGCTACCACAGAGTACCTGAGTCAATTACATATTCACCCAGTACTATCTTATGTAATAGACTATATGATACCTCATAGTACTCGATTCAATTAAATAAGTATTCATTGAGTAATTTTAGGCATTGAACCAGTTGCTAAGGATATAAAGACATTCACAGAGTTCAGTCTGGTCATGAAAACAAAGGTATGTAAACAAATTCTTAAGTACAGTATTTATGTGTAAAGTTGTGTGTGAATGCAAGTTATTTTGCCTAGGGATGATCAAAGAAAGCTAAAGGTGGTGTTTAATTTAGATTTTGAAGGATTAGTTAGGATTTTACCAAGTAGACAAAAAGGCCAAGGACATTCTATTCACTAGTTACTTGTTTACAATTATAATTAGTACAACAGAAACGTTTGTTAAGTCCACATGACAGCAGAATCTCATTCCTTCCAAAGTCTGGGAATGAGGGCTCCCTGAAACACATTAAGCCAAGACCTGAAGGATGAGGAGAAGCTGGCCCAGCAAAGTAATTGGGGAAGATGTTTGAGGTGGAGGGACCAGTGTGTGAAAAAGGCCTGGGTGGGAAGGGGATTGAAACAGAAAGGGATATTGGCTAGACAAATGCCAACATTTAAGAACCAAGTAGAGCAGGAAGAGTTGACAAAGGACACTAAGCAGGAGTAACCAGAGAGGTAAGAGGGGGAGAAAGAGAAGAAGCTATCACAGAAGTCAAGAAAAGTATGTTGCTTTTTTTTAAAGGAGTTGTTCATTGTATCAAATATTTCTGAGAAGCCAACAGATAAAGTATCTGTTGGATTTGGTGACATGGAGGTCATTGATGACCCAGATGAAAGCCTGTTCCATGTAATGGCAGTGGAAGCCATAGGGTTTGTTTGAGGATGGAGGGAAAATGAAAACTGAAGGTGGCCAGCGTAGGTAATTATTTAGAGAAGTTCCATTTTAAAGGTAAAAGAAGGAGTGGTGTTGAAAAGTGTGAGTCCAGAGTTTTTTGCTCTGTTTATTAAATTGTTAGGTAGGCTAAAGCATGCTGATATGCTGTTGGAAGGATGATAGGGAAGAGGAAGAGATGGAACATATTGGGAAGAAGATACAGTCAGTGTCAGGTTCCTGAGAAGATGGGAAGGAAAAATTGGTTGGTTTATGGTTGGAAGAGGGACACATCTTCCAGTTCACAGAAGGGAAGAGGAGGAGATGTTTAAATACAGTTGATTTTACAGATTCAATTGCCTTTATGAGAAGGCCTAAATCTTTAAAATTTTAGCTTTGGTCACATTTGCTTCTATTAGACAGTTTTTTCCCTGCTCCCAATGTCATCTTCTAAGAAGATCATATTTTTTGTTAGACATATGATTTGATGGAACTAATAACATGAGTTACAGATATGCATTTGTATGCATTCTTTCCTTTTTTTTTTTAAGGGAAAAAAAACCCTTGCATTTTATATATTTAGCCAGAAGTTTGAAAGATTAAGACTGTGAGAAAGAAAGAAGGAATGTATTTCATCATACCTTTGAGAAATGCTAATCAGTTCATTAAGTTTAGTTGCTAATAAATAAGAGAAAACATGTCTGCTATGAAATTGTGTCAGGAAATGTTAATGAGCAACTAGTTGAGACCTCAGTACATTGTGGATAAACGTTTAAACTTGTTTTATTCCCCTTTGCTTAGGTTGGCTTTTTTCCCCTGACTTGCGTATCTTTACACAGGCCCTCCTCATAGTGGGAAGACTGCTCTAGCAGCAAAGATTGCAGAGGAATCCAACTTCCCCTTCATCAAGATCTGTTCTCCTGATAAGATGATTGGCTTTTCTGAGACAGCCAAGTGTCAGGCCATGAAGAAGGTATCAAGATTTTTACTTTCATTTTAATCTCCTATCTCTTAGATACGTGTACACGTACACATGTATGTGTCTATCTATCTTTGTATGTGTATATATGTAAAAGCCACAGCAACTATGTTCTCAAGTGGAACTAAATTATCAGTAGAATTTGAGTAAAACAATAACTATTTTAGGTAGATTTAACTTTGTAATGCATTTTTATTAGCATTGCTTAATCTTCCAAATTATGGGGTTCCTAAAAGATTTTATTTATTTGTGCATGAGAGCACAAGTGGGGTGGGGAGCAGAGGGAGAGGGAGAAGCAGACTTCTGCTGAGCAGGGAAACCAATGCGAGGCTTGATCCCAGGACCTGATGATCTCAGATCATAACCTGAGCCAAAGGCAGATGCTTAACTGAGCCACCCAGATGCCCCCAAATTATGTTTTGTGTAATATATATTACAGTTAATTTTCATTTCTTAAGTTTGTATTAACTTGATTGAAAGAAAATTCAAAGTAAAAGTATTTGAGTAGAGGGGTGCCTGATGGCTGTTATTTCAGAGTCTCATTCTTAATTTATGCTTAGGTCATGATCTCAGAGTCGTGAGATTAAGCCCCATGTCAGACTTTGTGCTCAGCGCAGTCTGCTTGTCCCTCTCCCTCTGCTCCTCTCTCTTTCTTTCTCTCTGTCTCTCTCAAAAAGAAATAAGATCTTAAAAAAGTATTTGAATAGAGTGGAGCAAATTCATTTCAGATTTTCCTATCAGTGTACAGAATCGCACTGTTTGAGTCAATTAGATTGACTATGTAGTTTGGGAAAGAACAGAGGTATATCATTGGAAAGATATGCTCAAAACCCCAACAAAGGGATGGTGGTCTATTAGGTAACAATCAGAGTCTGCTTGGCAACTTAACATAGTCCTCATCCTTCTTCTTCCTTTCTCTAATTGCCATTTGTCACCTTCTTAATGCAGCTACTTTGAACTGTCAGTGAAAGTTAGAGCAACATAGAATAGAATCCTAGAGCTGAGGACTCTAAGACCGTCTGGTCCATCTCTCTTACATTCAAGCAAATGCCATATAAGGCTTCTAGGATAGTAAGTGGCTACTCTAAAAAGAAAAGTCAATGATGAAGATGTAATGACTGTTTCATATCACTTGGTAGCCTGTGTTCCTACTGATAATTCTCCTGATTTGGTATACTCACAGGCAATGAAGAAGTTATTTTTTATATCTAGTTGAAGTATTTCTTTTACTTAAATCCAATATTTCATGCTTGATCTTTCATAGATATGAACTGTTAGTTAAGGAAATATGGGAAAATCAGGATCTGAGAAAAGAGCTTTGAGAATTGGGGTGCTGCCTAATAAAAAACAGCTCCAAAATTCTTTAACCTTGCTCCTAGGCCCCCACTTTATAAAGATAGAGGATACTTTTAATTGCTTTAGGTTTTCTTAAGGGAAGAGACTAAAGAGGAAATTAATGTTTTAAAAGAAGCAGACTCCAAAAAAAAAAAAAAAAGAGGAAGTTTGAGAAGTTAGCTTCTTGTTTGTGCAGGTGGCAGAACATTGTTCGAATAGCGTGCTTCAAATGGATGGAGTGGGCAGAGCTTGAACCAGGATTCCTGTCCTGTACACTGCAGCATCAAGATAAATATTGTATGGGGCACCTGGGTGGCTCAGTCGGTCAAGCGTCTGCCTTCAGCTCGGGTCATGATCTCAGCGTCCTGGGATCGAGTCTGCATCATGAGCCCTTGCATCTTGCTGGGCTCCCTGCTCAGTGGGGAGTCTGCTTCTCCCTCTCTGTCTCCCTCTGCCCCCACCCCACTTGTGTGCTCTCTCTCTCTCACTCGCTTTCTCAAAGTAAAATAAATAAAATCTTTTAAAAAAAATTCTATATAAAGGTCTTTGAGTGTGAAAGAGAGAGAAATGTTGCCAGATACAAAAAGAACTTAAAAATCATAGTCTGTTTATTCAGTGTCTGAAGTGAAACCAGTAGTATCTGTCCTTCTGGGGAAAATCTAGATAGAATCACTAGAACCAGTAACTTGCCTAATGTTGGTTGGGTGGCTTTTCTTTGCTTTTTACTTTTTTCCTCTCTAAAGGGAACCTAAACAACTTCCTCTAGTGAAACTTTAAATAATAGGCATTGGAATCTGTGACCGTCGAATGTAGTATTTAATTGAACAGCTAATTCTGTTTGCATTTCCCTAACTCCATCTATTCCTTATACTTGTTCAAAAGTAGTAGTCTCCTGTGTAGATGGTAAATTACTCCATTGCTTTTCACCAGCTGCCAGCTTCTACCTCAGATGTACTCTGAGATGTGGGTGGAATGGTCCTAGTTTTTCTATAAAGTTTTAAAAAAGCACTTTAGGCTCCTACAGATCAAAGCTGCTTTGTAAGTGTGAGATATTATCATTTTTATTATTTTAATCTCTTGCAAATTGACTTGAGGGGGGAAGGTAATATGTGCTGGGTTTAGAGGCTTAAATGGTTAAATTAATGGCTTAATAACTTACGATTTAATCTTTAAATTGTTAAAGCCTTTCAAGGTAGAGTTTTAGATGAGTGGAAGGCTAAGGAATAGAAAAGTAAGTGTCTATACAAGCTTATTCAAAATTGTTTCAATTCATGATTCACTGTCTGGATCATCCATGCACCCTTAAAGTTACAAAAATTATTTTCATGTCATCAGTATAATAAATTCATATGAGACTTTTTGGTTTTCCTTGGCAAAAAAATGTCATTCCCTATAACTAAAGTACAGGAACAGAGAAAAGAATGAAGCATAGGAGTCTTAGAAATATATTAGAAATATTGCAAAATCTTTCCCTGCAAATAGTTTTCACATTGTTGCCTAATGATAGGTTGACAAAAGCCTGCGGGCTCAAACCAGTCTAAGGGTGCTAAGACTTCCAGGCTGCTTTTGAAAATGAAATATAAATGCCATTCCTCAGTATTTCTAGTCTACCTCCCACTGCTGTTCTCCTCTCTTCATTTTTAGTGTTAGGATAGGAAGATAGTTCCTTCCTTCCTTCCTTCCTTCCTTCCTTCCTTCCTTCCTTCCTTCCTTCCTTCCTTCCTTTTTCTTTCTTTCTTTCTTTTTTCTTTTCTTTTCTTTCTTTCTTTCTTTTCTTTCTTTCTTTCTTTCTTTCTTTCTTTCTTTCTTTCTTTCTTTCTTTTTTCAGAGAACAAATAATCTGTAATTTTTCATCAGTTCTGGAGAGGGCCTTTCTTTTTAGGTGCTGCTCCTCCCCAAAGGTGCAGCTTTTTAAATCACAAAAATAATTTAGAAAATAGAGAAAAGAGCACAGAAGAAAATAAAAAGAGAGTCTGTATCTGTCCTTCAATTTTCTTCTATACTCAGACACACACTCTGTGTATTGGAGATCATATGGACATACCGTTTTAAACCTGCTTTCACTTAATGTATTGCCTTTTTTTCAAATGTATCTCAGCATTACGTTAATAGCTGTGTAATATTCGTTTAAACAGTCCTCTTTTGCTGAACATTTAGTTTATTTTGAGGTTTTTTCACAATTAAAAATAATATTTTGTAGAACTACCGAACTAGGGAAATCACTACTCCCCATTTTCCTACTAGATTTTTCTTAGAATAGCATCATATTTTATTGGCTAAGAACGTAGGCTTAGGTTTCAAATAGATCTGCATCTGAATCCCAGCTCCAACACACTTACCAGGTCTTATAGTCACTTAACCTATAAGCCTCTGTTTTGTCACCTATGAAATGAAGATAATATTCAGAATTAAGAGAGATGATAATCTATGTAAAGTATCATGCAGCGCCGTGGGATATCATATGTGCTCAATAGAGTGTAGTAGTTATTTTTACATATCATTAGTACCGTATATACATTTCCAGTTGTTTCCTTAGGATAAATTCTCAGAACTGAGATTGCTAAAGTCAAACATTAATATTTTGAAGATTTTTGATAAATATTGATATAAGAACTCTTATGTAAAGTTACTGCTGGTTTATAAAGTCCACCTCTTCAATAAGTTGTACCAGTTTACATTCGCAGCCCCATCATGTGAACGTCCATTTCCTTGGACTCTCACCCACACTTGATGTTATTAAAATATTTTTTTCCAAAAAAAAAAATATATGTATATTTTTTTCCAGGGCGCCTGCTGGCTCAGTCAATGGAGTGTGCGACTCTTGATCTCAGGGTTGTGGGTTCAACCCCATGTTGGGTATAGAGATTACTTAATTTTTAAAAAATTAATTAATTAAAATATTTTTTGCCAATTTGAGAGGTAAAAGATTGGCATTTAAAATTATTTCCTCAGCTATACTTTAATGACCAAGTGCTCAATTTGAAATATTTTTAAAAATGTTTTGTAATGGCAATAGTTTGTGAAATTCAAATATTACAATTTCATATAATTTAACACATTAATTTTTGTTAAAGAGAGATGCTCTAACTTTATTCATAGAATATCTTTACATACCATTTTATTACTTAAACCAAGAGGTTAAGAGTTTTTGTTAGTAGAGAGGGCCATTTGGCTTGCTTTAATGAGTATCTTAGATTTAATTATAATTAAGCAATTGCTTCTTGTTCACATGTGGATGGTGCTAAAATATAGGAAAGTAGTTTATTTTCAATTAATTTAAATTTTACCTTATACTTCTCTTAATTTGCTTAATAAATCCTTTATCCATGAATAAACTCAACACTGCCATTATCCTCACATTTGGGGGTGGGTGGGGTGGGTGGAGATACCATATGTTCCATTAAGATATTTGAAGTGCTTATAGATCTTCTCCCCCATCCCATTTTATATTTGTTTCACAATTCCATTCTATTTTTAAATTTTAGTTCTTTTATCCATATTTGCATCTATATATTTTAAAACTGTTTTGCTAGTTCTGTTAGTGCCATTAAATGAACAAAAGAACACAACAGTAAAGTTTGATTTTAATTAATTACCTAATCTTGATGGTTTCTGAGTACAAAATCAGTATAGAGATGAAATAGAACAATCTGATGTGA